TTGACTAATGAGTTTGCCGACCACTGTCCTAGCTGGTTTGGCCCAGTGGATAGAGCGTCAGCCTGCAGACTGAAGGGTCCTGGGTTCAAGTCCAATCAAGGGCACATACCCAGGTTGCGAGCTCGATCCCCAGTAGGGGGCATGCAGAAGGTAGCGGATCAATGATTCTCAAAATTGATGTTTCTCTCTCTCCCTCTTCCTTCCTCTCTGAAATCAATAAAAAATATATTCTAAAAAAGAAAAGCCTTCTGGGCTTGCCTCTGCTAAGCCACTAGCTTGGTGATGTTGGAGACTGTCACCTCTTGGTTGCCATTTCATTGTCCAAAACTTGGGGTGGGCTGGCTCGTCACCAAGGGCCCACCCGCTCTAACATTCTCTACTTCTAATTATAAGACTATTTTTGTATCTGTTCTCCCTCCACCCCTGTAATTTGGAAGTATAAATGAGAACTTAAAACAATTCAACCTCTTCCTGAGGGGTGGACAGTTGGACTTTATACATTTCTTCCCACAGGCTTCCCATCAGGAATCAAAGAGAATGGCCAGCCTTTCTAGTCTCCCTCCGCAATTTGCAGAAGCCATATTTTCCATTTTTATTTTTTAGGACTGATGATGCTTCCCTCTCCGCCCTCATTTTGGAGAATGTTCATGTAGTACAAAATTAAATAGATATGTAGGGATGGCCAGTGCTGGTCTCTCTCTTACCCTGTCTCCTGGTCGCCTCGTCCTTCTCCATATGGGCATCCAGCGCTGTGAACCCAAGCAAATATGTCTATATTTCTTCTTCTTTTGAACCCAAATGGTACTTATGAACTTTGAAGTTCAAAAATAAATAAATAAATAAATAAATAAATAAATAAATAAACCTTGAAGATCATCCTGTTTTCTGCGCAAGAAGATCTTTCTCCTGTCACTAGCTGTATTGTACTCCAGAAGGAGATGCACTGTAATTTGCCTAACCAGCCCTGTCTTGATGGGCATTTAGCTTTTCCATCTTTTGCTGTTATAACCAATGCTGCAGTGAAAAGCTGTATGTACATGATTTTCACAGATTTGATTATATTTGTAGGATAAAGTCCTAGAAGAGGAATTATTGGGCCAGGGGGCGGTGCAGTTATACCTTTGGTAGGCATGGCCTGATTGCAGTCCACAGGGATCACCCCACCAGCAGGATATGAGGGGCCATGCTGCCCTCCACTCCAGCTGCTACCATGCGTTATTGGGCTTTCTGATGTCTGTGACTCTACCAGGTTCCAAATGGCATCTCAGTTCATTTTCAATGTGCATTTATTTCTCTTACTATGAGTGAGAATTTACTTGTCAATGAACTCAGTCGTTTGCTCATTTTTCTTGCTCGGCAGCTTTGCTTCTGATTGTTGACTGTCAGTGCTTTAAAATAGAAACACCATCCCCTTTTACAGAAACTTTCTTTGGTTCTTTGCCATCAGTCGAATAAAAGTCAACGTTCTTTGGGTGGGGATTCAACGTCCTCCAGAACCAGGATCCTGTCTTATTTTTTCAACCTCATATCCTCACGTCCTTTCTATTCTCTGGCCAAACCCAGCTGCTTGCTTGCCCCCCAATGCATCTGCATTTCCCTGCCTTCTTGTCCCTACTCAAGCTGGTCATAGTACTTGCAGTGTCTTCCCTTTGCCTCTCTACTTAAAGAACTTCTCTTCATCCCTCAAAGCCCAAATGAAATATCATTCCTTCCATTGTCCTGGACACCCTGGTCAGAGTTACTTTCACTTGGGGCTGTGTTCCTTTAGGGCTGGTATATAATTTAGACTGAGGACTGGCCAGGTTCTGCTTTGTGTTACAACTTTTTGTAAACACGATGCCTTGATACCATCTTTCTGTCTTAGCCACCTTGGCCTCTCCTACAGCCCTAAACCAGAAGTGAAGAAAGGGCTCCCTAGTTCGTCCTTCTTTGGAGAAGACTACAGTGACCTTTAAAAAAAATTGTGGTAAAAATATTCATAGTATAAAATTTTGCCATTTTAACCATTTTAAGTGTAGAACTCAGTGACCTTAGAGTACATTCACAGTGTTGTGCAGCCATCACCACCACCCATCTTCAGACTCTTCATCTCGCAAAACTGAAAATGTGCCTGTTAAACAGTCATTCCTCTTTCTCCTCTTCCCCCAGCCCCTGGCAACCGCCATTCTACTTTCTGTGTCTATGAATTTAGACTACTCTAGGGACCTCATATAAATGGAATCATACAGTGTTTATTCTCTTGTGACTAACTTATTACACTTAGTAAAATGCCCTTAAAGTTCATCCAACTGTAGCATGTGTCAGAATTTCCTTCCGTTTTGAGGCTGAATAATGTCCCACTGTGTGTAGATACCGCTTTTGTTTATCCATTCATCTGTTGATAGGCTTTGGGTTGTTTCCACCTTTTAGCTATTAGGAATGATGCTGCTATGTGGGTATGTCTATGGACATATCTCTTCGAGCCCCTGCTTTCAACTCTTTGGGGTCTAATACACCCAGAAGTAGAATTGCTGGATCATATGGTAATTCTTGTGTAACTTTTTGAGGAATCACTGTACTGTTTTCCATAGCAGTTGCCCCATTTTACATTCCCACCAGCAATGCACAGGCTCCTGTTTCTCTACATCCTTTCCAACACTTGTCGGTTTATTTGATAATATATTTTTATTGATTTCAGAGACGAAGGGAGAAGAAGAGAGAAATAGAAACATCAATGATGAGAGAATCATTAATCGGCTGCCTCCTGCACGCCCCACACTGGGGGTTAAGCCCGCAACCTGGGCATGTGCCCTTGACTGGAATGGAACCCGGGACCCTACTGAGCCAAACCAGCTAGGGCTGTTTGTTTTTATAGTAGCCACACTGATGGGTGTGCCGTGGTCCCAAGTAACCTTTTTGCGATTGTGTTTGGGGTGCCTGAATCACAAAGTCAGATTTAGGAGATCTCTCTTAGCACCTATACATCACACCCAAAACATTGCCTTGACTTCATGACCAAACTTTCCAGATTTCTTCTGGAACGAATGTCCACATGGAGAGGGCTGGGTCATTCAGAGAACAAGATAAATAACCAGGCAAACAAAACATCTCCTGGCACATGTTGCACCAGCCACGGTGAAAGGATCAGACAACACAGTCTGTGGTCCCTGCATGCCCGTGTGTGATTTGGAGCAGCAGCAACCTCCTGCTGGTCCATCCATCATGCGTGCTTGTCCTGGCTCAGAACTTACGGAGAAAATGAGGCCGGGTTGGAGTCCCCGCCATGTTCTCTCTCGGGTGCACTTTGAGCTCTTCTCCAGCCCTCTGCTTTGGCTGCTGCTCTCCAGCATTTGCAGTCAGGACAATAGTTTGGAAATGTCTGAAGCCCGATTGTTCTCTTTTTCACTCAAAGGCAGACTCATTGTGCCTGGATGTGTTATGAACTGGCTCCTCCGTTTGGAAACCAGCTCTGGAGTGACTGCCACGCAGTTTGAAAGGCACGTTCTGATCAGCAGATGCTACTGAGTCTGGGGAGAGAGTTAATGTGGCCTAATCTTCATGTGTATTTGTGTGTGCGCATGTGTTGGTTTTTCTCCAATTGCTCAGTAGTGATTTCGACATCTTTTATCTTCCTCATTCGTCGCTTTATGGACATGGATTTTTTTATCCCGGGAAAATCATGATCCACATATCTCTATATATAAAAGCCTAAGCGACCTTTACGAAGGGAGGACCGGCTGGTAGCTATGATGTGCACTGACCACAGGGGGCAGATGCTCAACGCAGAAGCTTCCCCCTGGTGTCAGTGTGCTCCCACAGCTAACCTCCCACGGTCCCTCCCCCCGGCTGGCTGGCCCTAATTGGCCCTGATCACCGGCCAGGCCAAGGGACCCCACCCATGCACAAATTCGTGCACCGGGCCTCTGGTCTGTTAATACGATCATTTTTAAACTTTCTCTATATCATTTTTCTTTTCAGAATTTTGTGCCGTCTTGGGGCCGGCAGACCTCCCTGACGACGTCAGTGATATCCAACACTGAGCAGAGCGTGGCTTACAAAGACTTCATTTATTTCACTGTCGTTGAAGGAAATGTTCGCAACATTTCTGAAGTCTCGGTTGAGTATTTGTGCTCCCAGCCTTGCGTTGTCAATTTGGAAGCGGTTGTCTCATCCGAGTTCAGGAGTAGCATTCCTGTGTACAAAAAACGGTGGAAGAACGAGAAGCATCTTCACACCAGCAGGACACACTTGGTGCAGGTGAAATTTCCAAGCATCATGGTTTACAGAGATGACTATTTCATCAGACACTCCATTTCCGTGTCGGTGGTGATACTCCGCGCCTGGATTACTCACAAATACACTGGTGGAGACGTGAATGTTAAATGGGACGAAAACTTGCTACACGCTGTCGCGAAGAATTATACTCTGCTGAAGACGGTCCCGCCTTTTGAGCGCCCTTTCAAAGACCATCAAGTGTGCCTTGAGTGGAACATGGGTTATATTTGGAACCTTCAGGCAAACAAGATTCCCCAGTGTCCTCTTGAAAATGGTAGGTCACTTGCCTTGCCAGGAACCTAATTCATTACTTCAGATAGCCTGTACCATAAGAGGGGCAGGGGAAAATTCTTATATTAGCAGTTGGGGGAGACTGAGGGAAAAGGAGCCTGTAATTTTAGACTTTGGGGATGAAAGGGGAAAAGTGGAAAGGTGAGGTGAGGAGAGGAGAAAGAGTTGGAGAGAATAGGACTGAAGGTGAAAGAGAGAGAGGGGCAGAGGGGCCATGGAAGAAGGACCTTGAGAGGTTTGGAGGTTTTAAGTTGGAAAGGAGCATTAATGCTACTGAAACAAGCATTGGGAAGATCTTCCTCCCGTCTCCCCTCAAACACCCCTCCAGCGTCAGTAAGCTTTAGTGCAGCATTGCTTCCCAGCCAAGCAGACCTGGCTTCTGCTCCTGGCTCTTCCACTTTCCTTCTGCCTGTGTAATTTTGGAACTCTTGGAGCCTCAGTTTTCCTCTCTGTAAAGTGGGAGTAATAAATAACAGTTTTCTCAGAGCAATGTTGTGAGAATTAAATGAGTTGTAATTTGCTTAGCACATAATGAGCGCTCAGTGAAAAGTAGCCGTGATGATGGATGATAGAGTCCAAACTCTGCATTTTATCCTAAATGCCATATGGGCACAGCCTCTGAAGGATCCGTACACGCGGCTCCTGTGTCCTTCTTCAGTCTCCCTTAAGCACTGGCGTTGGACCTCTCTGACTATACACAGTTAGAAGAAGGGGTCTGAATATCGCTCTGTTGGTGACAGGGGTACCTTGCTCTGCTGAGTGTCTGCCAGCTCTTCTCTGTACCCTGCAATGGGGAGCCATCCTGGGCATGCTCCCAGGAACCACCCAGGTCTAGTAGCGTTTCCCAAAGTGTGGCTCTAGGACACACTGCAATAGAATAAACCAGTCAGGACTCTAGCTGCAAATGCAAATTCCCTGCTCCCATCCATACAGACTCAGTCAGACTCTGTGGGAGCAGGGCCCTGGAATCAGCATTTACACATTCTCATGACCATTCTGATAGGACTCCAAGGTGTGAGAACCTCAGGACCAGGGCTGGAGCTGAGGGAACTTTGATCTAGAATTACTGTGGCCAGACCCAGGCAGGGTTGGTGGGTGGAGGAAATCCATGGGCCTGTGACAGCAGACCTTTCCACAGGAAGGGCCTGATCTTCTAGAGGACTGGTGCCGGGCAAGGTGGCTTAAGGACACGGGGAAACAGCATTTCCTGGGGCCACCCTCACACAGCCCCACATATAATGAAAACTTCAAGGCCTGCGCAACTATATATAATAGCCTGTCAGAGGCCACTTTCCATAGAACCAACACATTTGGCATTAAGAAAATACTATTTTGAGATAATTACAGATTCATAGGAAGTTGCAAAAATGGTAACAATTCTATGTATCCCTCTCCCACCCTCCAGCTGCCCCTAATGGTGACATCATCCGTAGTGAGAGCATGGTATGGAAACCAGGGAAGGGGAAACTGACTTGGAGCTAAAACTCTTAACTCAACTACAGGACTTTATTCAGACACACTCCTCTCTCTCTCTCTCTCTATATATATATATATCTCTCTATATATAGAGAGGAAGGGAGGGGGAGAGAGAGATAGTAACATCAGTGATGAGAGAGAATCATTGATCGGCTGCCTCCTGCACTCCCCCCACTGGGGATCGAGCCCGAAACCTGGGAATGTGTCCTGACCAGGAATCAAACTGTGACCTCCTGGTTCATAGGTCAACGCTCAACCACTGAGCCATGTCGGCTGGGCCAGACTCCACCTCTTTCTTTGTGCACTTTTGTGTGTGTGCAGAGTTCTGTACAATTTTGTCCTACGTTTTGTTTTAATATCCATGTTTTGTGTCTGGCTTATCCCATGTGTGTGCGGTGCTTTAAGTATGAGATACCTGGAAGCAGAAGGCGAATCCCTTTCTGCGTGTGTGCGGGTTGGGTGTGGGGTGGGTAATTACTGTTGAAATCGCGGAACGGCATGCATTTTGATGATCGGTGCACATCCCTCTCCCAGTCAGAAGCCCGTCCCAGCGATCATCTGGGTGGCCTTCTGCAGGGGGACCTGGTTTGTTAAGGAGAAGGAGGCAGGGGGCACACACAGCCACAGTTTTGCTTTGCCTTCGATTTTGTCAAGATTTAATGATTCCATTTCGTGTTTGGCCAGATCACGTATTTCTCATTAAGGAATGACTGGATTGCAAGCTGGAAGTTTTCAAATGAAGTCATTCTCGGCCTGGCTGAGTTCTTGGGGCACCTGATCATAGCCTTACAATGTCTTTTCTTGGCCCTTCCCACATTCACAGGGCTCAGGTTTTTCTCCCCATTTCTTCGGACCATGACTTGTGGGGGCGAGAACCAATCTAATGCAAGCATAACACAGAGCAAAATCTTTTCTAAGCTTCAGAGTCGCTGAAAACGGGGGAGTTTGTGCACCCTCAAACCAGCTCTGTTGTGATTTGTTCACTGTGAATGGGGAACATTTCCTCTCCCTCCCCCGCTTTAAAAGACAATCAGAAGAGCAGCCCTGTGGAAAGTGCCCATGACCTCTGTTCTCAACCTCAGCTGTGTGGGGGCCAGGGGCCAGGCCTCTGGCTTGTTCTTTGCAGGGACTCTTGACGAACGCAAGTCAAGTCAGAACAACAAGATGGCATTAGGGAGCCGCGTGGCGCCTTTCATGTCGGGCCCCTGCCTGTAGCCGGCACTGGTGGCAGGTGTGGGGAATGGTTTCTGTGTCAAGTGCCTGGTATCCTATGTGAGGGCGCTGCCTCTGGACTGAAGTATCTCCTTTCTGCTTTCATTTTCTTTTTCCTTTATAAAGAGAGTGAGCCACAGTCCCCGTGCGCGGTGGTGCCGTGAGTAAGGCTGGAGTGACCGTGCACCAACAGCCGAGGCGAGGCTGTGCCCGCGCACACTCCTCTGCAGCTGATCTCCGTTGCCAGGACCCGTCCCAGGCCAGGCCGGGGGTCTGATTTTCGGTAGAGATGCAGCAGACCTTTGTCCGGCCCTGCTGCGAAAACTTACCCTGGGTCAGAAGTGGGCAGCCTCTCAGGACACCTGCGTGCCCAGGCTCGGCCACCTGTATGCTGGTGCACCTGTTCCTGCTACATTCCAGGCGCATGGGCCGTAGGTGGCCAGGTACACCACGCCTGTGGCTCTACATACTACTGTCCATTTCCTTAAGGGAGGGGACCAGGCCTTAGCTGTGGTCCCTCGCCTATCACATGTGTGCCTGATTCATGCGTGAACTCACCCAGAGAGAGAAATCCACCACCCAGGCGGGTAGCTGTAGGCCCATCAGACTTCTCTTCCTATCACGTCCTACTGTGGGAGGCCAGCCAGGCCTGTTCCCTCTGTCTTCAGACTTTATGGCATATTCAGTTTCCTCTCACCACCTGCATTGCTGTCATGTGGTCTAAACCACCTCGGTCTCTGTCTGGACTGTGGCCACGGCCTGCAGGTGGCCTCCCAGCTTTGCCTCCTCCCTCACATAGCAGCCAGTGCCAGCAGGTTCCACCACCTCCCGCGGGCAGTTGCTCCTATGCCAGTCACCAAAGGTCAGCCTGTGTCGCTTACCGTGGCCGGTGGAATCTGTTCCTATCCCCTTCCCGCCCCATCTCCTGCCATGCTTCCCCTGCCCACCTGTTCTAGCCACGGGAGCCTGTTTGCTTCTCCACGAATGTACCAAGTTCTTTCCCACTTCGGGGCATTTGCATTGCTGCTCCCTCCTCCTAAGATGCTCCTGCCCCACCTCTCTTACCTCATCACACCTCTGCACAGATGGCATCTCATCAGACATGACTTCCCTGCCCACCTTATCTAAGACAGCAGCCCCACCCCTGCCACCCCACCCTGTTGTTATCACCTTTCTTTTCCTTCATCGCCTTATTGCCACTGAACATTGTATTGACTACCTGCTGTTGCTTTTTGCTGGTTGTGTGTCTTCATCCCCGAAACGCAAGCTCCGTAAGGCCAGGGCCCTGGATTGTTTTGTTCCAGTGGCACAGCGCCTGTGGGTGTCAGGTGCGCAGTGACTATTTGTCGCTTGAGTGATGAGACTGAGTAATGAATGCTCTTCGCCAAGGGGCAAGGACCTTTCTCTTATGCTTATGTGTGACCGTCACACTGTGACAGCATCCTCACTCTGCCGTGTTGCCACATTAGGGAGCCTGTGGGGGTAGGCGGTGGCTGCGCGCCTTCCCTGGGGCTCCATGCACACACTCACGCTGCAGTTCCCCGGTGGGGCCCCTGTGGGCTGTGCTGGTTAAGGCTGCAGCCTTCGGGTCAGCGATCCTCCTTCGCAGCCGCAGGTGAGCTCGCCTGCACCCTGTGCGCCTGCCCTTGTACTTTGAGTCTGATTGGTTTGATTCTGCACCCCTATGCCTTGGCTAAAGCAGGTCCTTTTACCTGGATAGCTGCCACCCCTGACTCCCGCTCCCCACCAACATCGCCCCCCATTGCCACCTGCCATGTCTTCCTGGCAAAATTATGCCCACATTTCAGTAGGCAGCTCGAATTTCAACCCTTCCCCCACCCCACCCCACCTCGAAGCATTTTTCTTTTCTTTCTTTTTCCTTTTGGATCCCCACAATCAGAAATGAACTCTCCACCCTTTGGCCTCCCCTAGCCCTCTGTTGTTCCACCTCCCCAATGATATGTGTCATGTTCAATTTAGACAAAGGTTGATTGAGTACCTACTATGTACCAATCTCTTTACTAAATCTGGGCACTCAAAAATGCAGACACCATCTTTCCCTCTCTTTAGGTGATTACGCAGGAGGTGCATACAGCTACCAATAGAATAGCTACTTCCCATTACTGCCAGGCACTGTGTGAAGGGCTTTCGGTGGGTATCTAATTTAGATCTGCCCAGTGCTCTAGGTCATACTTACAGAGCAGGAAACTGACTCAGAGAGATAGAGTAATTTGTCTGAGGTCACACAGTTATTCATGATGGAGGTGGGATTTGAACCCAAGTAGTTTGGTTTCC